CATCTTTGCTTTTGAAACAATCACTTGAGTTTGTTCGTTTCCAAACAATCTTTGAGCCGGTTTCCCTTGAAACCGTGTTATCCTAAAGATGCCAGAACTCTTCATCACTTATGAGCCGTGTCATCCACCGACAGATCCTCATCACGTAGGAGCCGTGTCACCGAGATAACAGCCATCCTCATCGTAGGAACCGAGTTATCCCTTCCTAAAGATGACCAGAACTCTTCATCACGTATGAGCATTTCATCCCCAACAGATCCTCATCACGTAGGAGCGTGTCCCCTTAACGCCACCTCATCACGTATGAGAGTTCGTCACCCTTCCTAAAGAGACCAGACAACGTGTGGCTTTTCTTTCCCTCAACCAGATGTCAAGAGGAGCTGTGACACCCGTTTGTCTGGGTCTTTTTTATTTTAATTATTATTATTATTATTATTATTGTTATTTTTATTAATATTAATTAATTACATATTTTGTAGGCAAGCCCAAATGGACTCACTCAGCAGACCCACTCACAAACCCGGTTCAGCAGCCCACCAGCATAGATCCGACCCGATTTAAAACCCTAAACATATTAGGGTTTCTTGGAGATCCAGCGCCGCTCAATCCATTGATCTGGACACAAATCAACGGTCCAGATCAATGACCATTCTAGGGTTACAGGAACCCTAGCCCAGATGAGTACTGTCGCCGCCACTGCATGCTGCCGCTGCCTACTTCTCTGTTGCTTCAGCCACTAGTTCTGACGCCGCCGTCGTCCTTCCCTGCATGAACAGTGACTCACCAATCCATCAAACAGTGACCCAGATCCTATCTAAGTCAGAAAATCAGAAATCTCATCCTATAATTCTAGGATATTATTATCCTACATTGAGACACTCAAATATCATCAAAAACCATCACCAACAACCATCAAAGAGGTCTAGGATGCAACATAAAATAAAGAAAAAGAAAGGAGAGCATTCGGGTTTTTCAGAGAGAAAACAGAGAGAGAAAAGAAGAGTTTACAAAGGGGGAAAGAAAAATCCCAGGCAACCTATTCGAACCAGAGAGGAAAAAAAAGGAAAACAAAAAGGGAGAAAGAGGAGAAACCCTTACCTCGTTTCTCCGTTGAAAGCTGAGCTCGTTGGAATTTAAGAACCCTTCGAGTTCTTCGTGGATTCACTCCGTTTGAGCCTTTTCCAAGGGAAACTAACCCCGAATTTGGGACCAGGGCGTTGAGGTGCTTCGAGTAGTGCCCTTTTCTCTCCGCTCCGAAACCGACGTACGACGGTGGCCGCCGATCAATGGCGGCCGACACGGTGGAACCCCACCGGAATCTGGGCTTCGGTTGAAGCTTGGAGAGAATTTTCTCTCTCTTTCTCCCATTCTCTCTCTTTCTCTCTCGCAGGCAAAGGAAAAAATGAGGAAATGGGATGAGTTTGGCCTAGGCTTGGCCTTATATTTGGTGTGTTAAACGACGCCGTTTCAAGGGGCTGGGGCTGCGTATTTTTGCAAAGAAGGGTAAATATCACGTTTAGTCCCCCATGCTTTGTAATAGTTTTATTTAACTATTAAATGAAAGTTTGCTTTATTCTATTTTGAGCACTTATGTTTCTGTATTTCTATTTTAGTCCTGTTATTATATGTTATATTATTTTTGTTAATGTTTGACTTTGGGAACCATATTTGTAATTATTTCATTTAGGTCACTGACTTGGTGTTGTGTATTTTTGTGGATATTGGAATTTGGTCGCAATATTTGTAACTTTATTATTTTAGTCATTGTTAGTATTTGGTTTAATTTCTGCTTAGCCCCTAAGTTTCTATTTTCTCTATTTTGGTTCCTAAATTTTCGTCTCTTCTATTTTTGTCCTTTTAAGCTTCTGTAATTGTATTTTGGTCCTTATATTTCTGTTTTTTTCATTTTAGTCCTATTATTGTTTGTTATGATATTTTTGTTATGATGGACTTTGGACATTATATTTGTAATAGTTTTATTTTAGCCACTAATTTAATACATTGTGCATTTTTTATGTTGTTTGATTTTGGCTATGATATTTGAAAATCTATCATTTTAGTCACTATTTTTGCATTTAGTTTAATTATTGATTAGTACTTTATATATTTGTAATTGCTATTTTTAACCCTGTAAATTTATGTTTTAACTATTTTGGTCCTTTTGAGTTTATGTTTTATTTCGGTCCTCGAATTTCTGTTAATCCTATTTTGGTCCTTTAAAATTTTTTATTGTTCTATTTTAATCCTTTGGTATACATATTGTTATGTTATGTCTTCATTTGTATCATATGTAAATAGTATGTTAACTTTATTGTTGTAAATATTTATTTCGCATATTTCGATTTATATTTATTTCCATTGTATTTATTTATTTAATATTGTCCAAGCATGTTTCAAGAATCATATTTGCAGAATGGGCGGGGAAAGTGTCACTTGATCGAAGTGGTACAATCCGATACGACATTCGAACAAAATGAAGCTTGAAATAAATTAATTTTATTTTGTTAATTGTTAATTGTTAATTCATTTTTTTTACACTAAACAATGCAAGTTATGTATTTTTATTTTTCGCAACTGTCAATTAGTAATTTATATTCGATATGCATCTTTTACATATTTGACGATAGAATATCCTTTAACAATGGAAAATGGTTGAAATAGCTTTCCCGATGGAGGATTGCAAATTTCAAGATTTTTATCGAGTTAAAGTATTTCTTTTAAATAGTTAATTCGAAGCAAATTAATAAATGTTCGATAAATGGATCACATTTTAACTTTATATTCGATTCATAATTTCCACCATTTACGATAACGTGTAAGCGACGCAGTACCAGTTTTTGGGCGTTGTGGGGAGCTAATCCTTCCCCACATGTAATCGACTCCCGAATCCATTTAATCGAATCTTTGGTGACGCAGACTAAATTTTGTCTTATAAAATGATTTTTCTTAAAATTATTTTAAAAGAAGTTTTTAGGTATTCGACCTACCTAATTCAAAGGTCGATGGCGACTCCTTTTTCAATTTAATTCCAAATTAATTCCACATCATCAATTTTTTCAAATTGAAGTCATAATCGTTTTTTAAATAATATTTTATTGTTTTATAAAAAAAAAGGTTATGACAGCTATTACAGATTATAGGAATAAAGAGGGCATACAGGAGAAACGAGGAATAAACAACAGAGTAATGAAAATCAAACAACATACACATGGTTCTCCAAGAGACTCCAATAGCTATCACTTGGTTCTTCAAGGAAAGTTCACATCTTAAAAAAATAAAGGTATAGTAACATTTAATCAAGCAGTTCATACCAACAATGGCAAAGTGCTATGCTTCTATTGTCTTCAACCCAGCTGCAGTCCAATTCCCAGAAAACTTAATCCTTGAGAAAAGTGGGTTCATTTTGGGAGGAAACAAACAGAAAAAGAGTTCAAGTTTAGCAGCAGAAAAAATAAATAAATAAAAAGATGGTGGTCCAGTTAAGGTCGGCTCAGTGAGAGACGTTGGATCTTAGTAGATCAAGCTTGTTATCTTCCCACTGCCAAGAGAGGAAGGTCTTCGCTGCTCTGTGAAACCAGCCTCACGCAGTGCCCTTCGCTCTAGGAGCCACGACACCCACAGTTTTCACTGAGGTCCCATGACCCAACTCTTGGCTTGGAACGGGCAAGCCATGGCAAAGCCACGTGGGATCCGACTCAAGGAGCCAAACCCATGTTCCAAAATCCTAGTGCCCCCACTCGGGTCACAAGCTCCCGTTACAAAGCTCGGCGATAATTTCTGTGGGTAGCAACATATATAAATACCTAATTCCTGCTCTTACTTATCCATGTGGGATTCTTTCTTTGAGGTGCTTTTTCTATTTTGTACAAATAAGTAAAATGATTACCAGGGGAAAAAAAACTTGAGATGAGAACTTGATCCAAAATAATAATAAAAGTATTCTTTTATATATTATTAATTGCATTTTGATTAAAAAAAATTATGTTATAGCATGACCTACTATTAATTTTTATTTTCAATTAATATTATTAATTTGACAAATTGATATTCTATTTAATTATTTTTAATTTGGATGAAATGTGAAAAGTTAAATGTTATATTGTATTAGATAAAATTTTCAATTAAAACTTTGAATTAAATGAAAGTCATTAAATTCTATTTAAATTCGAGAATCGAGTTTTATTGAAATCATATTAAATTTAACTTTAAATCGGAAAAATAACTATTCGATGCCATCGTGGTAAATCCATCTCCGACATCTCCATTTCTTAACAGATACGATGAAAAATCCGCTTTTTGTGGATGATAGGGAATAATAATAATAATAATAATTGTGAGAAAACTGGCAACCAAAGTTGAGTTTCAAAGGTTAAAGGCGATCGGACGGACATGAATATATCCTCGTTTGTGTTCATTCGGTTCGTTTGCAGGACTAGCATTAGAAGTTATCGGAAGTTATATGTTGTAATCGCCGCTATGTTTCTGGGGTCTTAGTGGATTTAGTTGTAACTGGCGCTTCCGTCACAGGAATGATAGTCGATGTAGAAAAGATAGTCGAAGTACCTGGAACCACACATCAACCGGATTAATAGCATTAATTTGATCACTAGTTATGATAATCCCACTTTCAAGAAAACTGTGCTTTGCTTTCTCCATCTGAATACGAGTATACTACACTTACATGGCAGTCCCACTGTTAGAATCGTCGACGACCTCAGAGGACGCCCTTTCCATCTGAAATTGCTCCAAGAGGCGAGATAACAATCAGAATCGTCTCTGATAATGATAAGACAAAGATAACACTCTGCTGTAGTTACCTTTGTTAGATTAGTATCCCTTAGAGAGAACACAGCCAAGGCTTTGAATAGCATGCCAGGACATTCTTCTAGAGTAAAAACTATACTGGTCTGGAAAGTCGAAAGATTATCAACGAAAGAGACACATTAATCGAATAAATGACCAAGTTCAAGGAGGTATACCTTGTAAACCCTGTCCGTTCTGGGAATTATAGGTTCTCTTGCAAGTACCAAATACCTGGTAACGTTATCATCCTCGTCCTGATGCACGACATGGAGTAAATCAACAATAGAACGAAATGTGCCTTTTTGGCCGAGAAAGGAAATGTTATTCAATACACACCACGAACATAGTGAAGCCATCATTCATCTTCATCGAGAGATCTATGTGGAATTAAAGAGGGATAAGAATACTGAAGGTTTTTTACCTGGATTTTATCTGCAAGAGTGTCAAGCCCATATAATGCAGCTGCTCTAGCACTTGCTATTGCGCCTATATCTCTTTTGCCACTCGAAGCAACCATCTGTTCCGGTATCATGGTGCGTGGAACCACGAACAATAATATAACAAGAAATGAAAAAGATACAACACGAAGAAATTGAATTAGCACAAGAAGATCTCGAAAGTACCCGAGCAGCACCAGCAGAATCATCAGCACTAAGTCTAATAATGCCTAAGTTAGTAAGGGCCATATCACATTGAGCAAGTGCCTGAAAATGAGGATATTGTTAGCAAAACTAAGACTTCAAGAATCAAAATGCCAACCTTGGCATGAAGTTTGCACATTCGATAAAGCAATCCTCACATTTGAAGATAGATCGGTTATGGACGGCGGTTGTAATGCCTCAAATATTGAATTAAGGACTTTATTGAAAATATTTAAAAATAGGAGTATTTATTCGATTAAATAATAAAAGATGAGAATGATTACGATTAATGGTTTATTCGATTATAATGGTTTATAAAATTAAACAAAATTGTACGGCTTTTCAAATAGGAAACAATTTTAAAAGTAATGTGACATCTGTATATCGTACACATAAAGGTATACGGGAGATGGGTGTTACAACGTTTATACAGAACAAATATATATTGGATGTTAGAAACTGTATTGACAAAAACCATATAACGGTACGATTCATTAAAATATAAACACAAACACCTTATAAAAGAACAATACAAGAAACTGGAAATAAATTTATAGTGATAGCTCACAATCAATGTATTTCCTCTAGCAACTTTTGGACATCTAAATCAAATATTACAACTTAAGAAAATCACTAGATCATACCAGTAGACTATCAAACCTAATTAAAATCTATAGTATCAACCGAGATCGACCTACCTAAACCTTTTAACGGTTACATTCCATATCAACACACGTGTAGAACAAGTACATTCGATCGGTATCAAATCAAGAACACCTCAAGCTTGTTCGTCCACGTGTGAGTAGCTTCCTATTATGCATGATACTCGAAAAGTTTCAAAAAAGAACGCTCCTCCTTAGGGTCGTGAAATCACATAATCGTTCAGGTTTCAGTCGGATTCTGTCAGTTTAGGTCAAAATGGTTCATGTCCGAATAAATTAAATACCGAGTTAATTCAGATTCGGGTGGACTTCAGTCGGATCTCGTTCAGATCGGGTCACAATATTAACAGACAAAATTTAGATTGGATCTTACCGGATACGAATTAACTTCAGGTAAGGTCATTTTTGGATTAATTATTTTTCGCATTTCATGAACATTGAATTGTAATTGTTAATTGTATATGATTTAGAGTAAATTAAAAGAATATTAATAATTATGGATTAATTTTGATAAAAATATAATTTTAAGGACTAAATTGAACAAACATAAAATTACAAACAAAAATATAAAAATGAACTAAATTGTACCCATTTAAAAAGTTGTTGAACAAAAGTTTATAGGGTTTGGAGATTATGATATAATTTATAAAATTTGAAATGAAGTTTATTATGTGATTTATAGGGTATGAAGTAAATTACAAAATATAAATCAGAATGGGTCAATTTTAGATACAAATATAATTTTAAGGAATAAATTAGACAAATACTAAATTAAAAATTTAAATTTAAATAAATTAAATAACACAAAGAGTTCAAATCAAAATAATTATAAAATGTGAAGAAAAATTATAAAATATATTGAATTGCATTCATTTCAAAAGTTGACAAAAAATTGAAATAATTATAATATATGTATATATTATATAATAATATAATATGACACGTGTATATATAATGTATATTATATATATACAATATAGTATAAAGTATATAAACAATATAGTATAAATATAAGTATATAAATTATATAAACTATAAAATATATAACTATATATATATAAGTATATAAGTATATAAGTGTATATGTTGAACTATGTTTTATAATATTTTCATATAACAAATTAAGGCAAAATGTTATTTGGACTTGATTGAATTTATTCAAAGTTTTCAAAAATAATTCAAAGTCCATTAAATTAGAATTTGAGCACAAAACTATTTTTCTAGGTACATAGTACAGATATTGTTCTTACAATATCGATACTATTTGAACAGTACTAGTACTGTTCATGTGGTACCGATACCAAAGGTAAGAGAAATATCAATACTCTCTAGGTAGTATCAATACTACCAGTTGTTTTTCAAATTGCTCAAATTCCAGAATGCAAAATAGGTACTGATACTCAAAGGGGTACTTGTTGAACTATATTTTGATATAATAATTTACGGAAAAATGTTTTTGGACTTCAATTGAATTTATTCAAAGTTTTCAAAGTTTACAAAAATAATTCAAAGTCCATTTAATTTGGAATTGAGCACAAAAATATTTTTACGAATAGTATTGTACTGTATGAATAGTACCGATAATGTGTGAACAACAACGAATAGTACCGATACTGTATGAATAGTATCGATAATGTGTGAACAGTAACGAACAGTACTGATGCTCAAAAAATCATAATGCAAAATGGGTATCGATACCTCTACGGTAGTATCGATACTACTACAGTAAAATCAAGTCCAACGGTAAAAAATTTCAAATATTACAAAGGTAGTACCGATACCCATTGAAGGGGTATCGATACTACTTGTTCGGGGCAGATTTATTTTGCAGAAAATGAATCCCCAACGGCTTCAAAACATCCCCAACGAATATATACGACTTCAAACTCATTCCAACTTATAAATACATGTTCAAGACACTTGAAGAATATAGAGAACACCTATCCAAGTATTCAAACACAAGAGAAGAGTTTTTCAATCTTATTTTTCTATTCTCTTGTAATATTGTGTTCTTGTGAGCTTAAATTTTGTAAACACCCTACCTTTGAGAGGTTTTCTTGTTTACTTCTTTTATCCTTTTGTAAAAGGAAAGGTTCTAGCCGAGCCCTCGAAAAGCTAGGGATAAGGTTCTAGTTTAGCCCGTGAAAAACTAGGGAGTTGTAAAGGTTATCTCTTTGTCCTGTAAAAAGAAATAACAAATTAGTGAATTTGTTGGAAAATTCTTGGTGAGAAGCTAAGGTAGTGGATGTAGACTTGGTTGAGAAATCGAACCACTATAAATCGCTGTGCAAATTTTCTATATTTCAATCTCCTTACTCCCTTAACACAAGAACCGTCCCAACCCCTCTTGGTGAACCATTTTGGTTGTCGATTTGAGCTTCCGTAAAATCTCAACAATTGGCATCAGAGCTTAACTCGTTAGAAGGCTTAACATCATTGAGACGATCCTAGAAGACGCTCTACCAATTCCTGACACAACCGAGAAGATGGCTTCCACCTCTAGCTTGTTCCACATGGAAGACTCTCCACCGATCGACAAGCCTCCACTTTTAATGGAGAAAACTATCATCATTGGAAGAAATTAATGAAGTTATTCATATAATTCAATGATCTTGATGCATGGGAAATGATTGAGAAAGACTACTCTTCTCCAAAGAAGAAGGATAAGAAGTGGAGTAACCAAGAATGGAAGAAAGCTCAACTTAATGCCAATGCCATGCACATATTGTTTTGTGCATTTGGTCCAGATATATGAAGGAGTTTCTTCTTGTTCAAGTGTCAAGAAGCTTTGGAATAAGCTCGAAAAGCTTCATGGAAACAAGAAAGAATAACAAACAAAGGTGGTGTCTCTAATAGCTCGTGAAGAGCCCGAGGTATCTTCTAGCTCAAATGAATTAAATTCATTTTCTTTTGATGAGTTACAAGCTGCCTACGATGAATTATTTTCGGAGTTTGATACCATGAACTGCAAATATAGGAAAATAATTTCAAAATTTAAAATTGAATATAATTTTATTTTGAAAGCAACAATAGATTTTGAAAATCAAAATGAAATGTTGATAAATGATTTAGAGCTTTCAAAAATGAAAATTGAAAGTTTTGAAAAAGAAAATTTTTATTTAAAAGTTAAGCTTGAATGCTTAACAAAAGAAAAAGAAATCATTTTAAATAATTCATCTAGTTTAATAATGGCAAAATGCTCACATTGTCATTATCATGGTCACAAGGGACATACTTGTCATTTGAAGAAAGAAAAACGTTTTAAAATTAGACAAGTATGGATTCCTAATGAAACAAGGGGCATTGAAACTAACTTCCAAGGATCCAAAGCAATTTGGATACCAAAATCGAAATAAATGTCTATTGTAGGTGTGTGGGAGCAATGGTGATGAAAGTGAAGATATTTAAATGCTCTAGCCACACTTGAAAAAGGAACGGGTAACCTCTAAACTTAAAGCTTTTGTTTTTGATTAATTGGTTGCTCATTTAGGTTTATACATGCATGAGTTTTGAAATTAAATGATTTTGTGTTAAATTCTAGCTCATGTATGTTAAAAGGAAGCTATGATGAACATTTTAAAATTTTAATGATTTTTCATAATTTTTAGTTCATCATAATGAATTTTGGTCAAAATTGATTTTAAATGCAAATGATATCTCTCTAACAATTGATATCGACTTTGAACATTTTAAAATTTTAATGATTTTTCATAATTTTTAGTTCATCATAATGAATTTTGGTCAAAATTGATTTTAAATGCAAATGATATCTCTCTAACAATTGATATCGACTTTTCAAATACTTTGATTTTTCAAATTTTAATTTTTTTGACCTAAATTTAAATGATTATGCATGTGTTTTAAATGCAAAAGACATCTCTCTAACAATTGATATCAAATTCTTCAAATGCATAACATTTTTGAAAGCTTTATGCATATGCACTTAATTTCAACAACTGATATTGCATAAAGTATTTTAGACTTGGATACATAGAATTTCATGTGCTACTAACATGTTTGTTATTCTTTGTTGAATTTCATGTGTCAAGATTTTAAAGCTAAATTTTGTTGGGAATGCACTTATTAAGGGGGAGCTTTGATTTTTTTCAAATGGTTTTTAAATGTCAAATTTATCACTTAGTCTCCAAAGTTATTTTAGAACTTTAAAGATTGAATTTTTTTTATATAACAAAAAGGGGGAGAAGTATGGTTTGAAAAATTCAATTTCTTAATGAAAAAGGGGGGAGATAAACATTTTCATATATTTTCTAACAATTGGTATCTTTTTCATTAAACATTTTACTAAGGGGAGTTTTGCAAAAAAAAAACAAATTTTCAAATGTTTTTGTTATATCAAAAAGGGGAGATTGTTGAACTATACTTTGATATAACAATTTATGGAAA